AGGCAGATCTCTGTGAGTTCGAGGCCAGCCTGGTTTACAGAGCTAGTCCAGGACAGGCTCTAAAGCTACAGAGAAACCCTATATAGAGAAACCCTCAAAAAAAAAACCAAAAAAAAAAAAAAAAAAAAAAAAAAAAAAAGTTTGTTTAGAAAAAAAAAAAAGTGAGAGCTATAATTACATATGTAACAATAAAACAAGCAAACCCCGATCATCGGAGAGGACATTTTGTGGCTTCAGTTGGTTTATCTAAGCATGGACATTCTGTAAAGGCGATATCTTGGATCATCTTGTTGTGCTTGATACTCAGTGATAAGCCTTCCTTAGCAGCAAAGCTTGCACTTGTAACCCCACCCCTTGGGAGGAAGAGGCAGAAGGATCTCTGAGAGCTCCAGGTCAGCCCAGGCTACACCAAGTGAGACCCTGTCTGTTCCAGTGTGGCTTGCTTTTCCCTTCCAAATTCACTATCTTGGAAACTGCTTTGGTCAAGCGGGCAACACACCTAATTGAGCTAACTGAGCATAACAATACAGGGACAGGCAGGTGTGTGGTCATGGTAATGAAGCCACTGAAAGTGAGGACTGAAAGACACCCTCGTGGAATCTCAGCTGTTGTTCACTCGCTCGCTCGTGCCCTACCCCACCCAGCTGTACATGATCTCGGGAGACACTGGAGTATAGAGGAAGTGGTTGGCTAGCCGAGAAGATGCAGATTCCATGAGGTCATCCTCCATGCCGGGGTGGGACTTTGCCGTGATGCAGCACAGCAGTTTTGTGGGGGAAGGGGACACTCACATTATTTCAGCCATGCTCTGAAAGTGCATACTGGCTCACCAGATCTCTGGTGGAATGGTTACCTTGGCCTGATATTGATGCCCTTCTGGGGTAAAAAGACATTTGTTTTTGTCTCCCCAGGAAAAGTTAATGGAGCACTGTCTTCAAAGCAGAAACACAAAACACAACACCCCCAAATAGAGCATGGCTCCGACTTCCACAAGGAAACAGACTCTCGATTCCCCACCAACCTGTGTTCCAGGTGCCTTTCCCAAGGGCCTGCCATACAGACTTCATTCCTGCTTAGTAACCCCCTGGATCTTGCTGGAATATTCTGTATTGTCAAGATCTGAGTGTTTATGGAGCTTCCATCATCTGTTAAAACTCTCTAAGGCGCCGGGCGGTGGCGACACATGCCTTTAATCCCAGCACTCAGAAGGCAGAGGAAGGCGGATCTCTGTGAGTTCAAGGCCAGCCTGATGTACAGAGCGAATTCCAGACAGGCTCCAAAGCTACAGAGAAACCCAGTCTCAAAACAAAACAAACAAACAAACAAAACCCAACAAAACAAGAAACTCTCTAAGGCAATCATAACAGGAAGTGAGACTCTTGAGAGGAGATTTCGATCGTGGACACACAGCTCCTCTTGAAAGGGAAAAATCAGTAGCCATCTTGAGAGACACTTCCCCCTCCCCTCCTCCAAAGGTATTTGCTGATCAGCAGTTTTAGAAGTGATCAGAAGTTGAATTTAAGGCTGGGACAATAAATCTATATATCCTGGACTTGGCAAAACAAGATATGGGGAGTAATGGACTCAACTGACCAGAAGCTGACCTTAGAGGAGAGTAGGTCTGGAACAATAACTCTGAATGTATATATCCTGGGTTCAACAAAAGCAGGACATAGGGAGTAAAAAATTTATGTCTCTGTAGATAACCTGCATCCTGTTAGCCATCAGTAACCTCATGCTTATAGTTCAGCCAGTAACTTCAAAGAACTGCCTCACCCTTAGCCCCCTCTTCCAATCCCAAGCTGCATGTAAACTTTTCCTATATAAACCCCTTAAAGTGAGTGCTCAGGGCCGTTCTCCTCCACCCGCTGTGCTGTGTTGGATGGTGGATGGTGGACCAAGCTTGCTTGTTTTGTTAATAAAAACCTCTGTGTGCTTGCATCGGATAATGGCTCTGTGGTGGTCTTGGGGGTCTTCTGACCTGGGCACAATATTATTTGGGGGCTCGTCCTGGACCCCCCT